CGTCCCACAGGGCAGGAGGCAGACCTGTGTTTGAGTGGGGAGGCTGTGGGCACCTGGCTACGCCCGCCTAGGGTCGTTCAGCTCACAAATCTCTTTATTAGTGGCCAGAGAGGGAACAGCCCCGCTGCCCACCTGGACGCGGCACAGAGCCGGTGTGCAGCCTGAGAGCACCCAATAGCCACTGCTCGAGGGGCACGTGCCGCTGACATGAGGCAGGGCCTGGCGGAGGGAAGCCACCTGCCTTTTCCCAGCTCAGGCTGGGGAGGCAGCGAGCTGGATATGCACCTATTCAGGAAGGCAAAGAGCCAAAAATAACCAAGAGCAACGTCATTTCATCTGACAGGCCTAGAAATACAGCTCGGAGCACACCAGGGCTGCAGATAGAGTGACTCTTGGACCTTCTTCATTCCCTTAGAAATACCCGGAAAAACTCATAGGTTCCCCAAGAGCGCCCATCCCCTCTTTGCTGCAGGGAGCGTGCAGAGTCAGGCACTTGAAGCTCAAAAGACAGAGTCTGGGGACCAGGGCACGAGGATGGTATCCAACAGAACACTCTAAGGAAGACAGAAATAGGAAGCGATCGGTTAATATGGAGGATGCAAACAGACAGGAGATGGGTTTAGGGAGAGTAAACCCTGGGTGTCCTGAGAAAAATGGAAGCACTGCACCCGGCTCTTGGTGTGCAGGGTTTAGCTAGACCCTGAAGGTCACCCTTGGCAGCAAAGGAAGGGCCGCGGTTTTCCCATCGAGATGGAAAGTGTGTGGTCTGACAGCAGTCCTCTCTTCTATTTCTGTTTTATTCTCTTCTAGTTTGATGTAAAAGGCAAATGTCACAGTGCATTCATCTTTGTTCTGAATATCTGAAATTGCAGAAAGGGAGGAGGGGGTGGGCGAGAGGAGAAGGCGGCAGGATCCCTGAGAACCCTGACCGTGGAAGAGCATGGAGGAGAAAACCATGGATACAAAAGGGAAAGAGGGAAGGAAGGCAAGACGGAAGACAGGAAGGATGGGAGAAGAAATGAAAAAGGAAGATGGTGGATTCCATTTTATTTAGTGAATAAGAACTTCTATACACTGCGTGAAGGGAGTACACGGAGCTGATTAAGAAGCAACCTCTGGACCCTGCTGGTGTGGCCCAGCGGGTTGGGCATCGTCCTGCAAACTGAACGGTCACCGGTTCAATGGCCAGTCCGGGCACGGGCCTGGGTTGCAGGTGCGGTCCCAGGTCGAGGCGTGTATGGAAGGCCACTAGTCGATGTGTCTCTCTTTCATTGATGTTTCTCACTCTCTTTTTCCCCTCCCTTCCTCTCTCTCAAAATAAAAAATAAAGAGAAATTTAAGAAACAACCTCTGCTTTCAAGGAGCTTACAGTCTACTCGTAGGAGGAGAAGAGGCCAACACAGTGAACGAGATATAAAGCAGCACCAGCCAGTTGCCACATGCGGCGACAGGCAATGCTCAGAGGGGCAGAGAGAAATGACCAATGAAGTTGAACGTGAGGTCATGAGGGAAGGCTCCCTGGAGCTTTGCCAGGACACCAGTCGTTCATGCAGGAGGGAAGTGGGAAGAATGGGTGCTTCTTACAAGTAGTGCCCTCCCTCCCCCTCCTGCAACCCCTAGAGGTCAGTTGTCTCCATAGGGTCACATCTTGTACCCTACGCATCCTTGGTCCCTGCAAATGCAGTGTCCAAGTATCAGCATGGACTGTGACCGTCCAAAGGTACATTCCCACTGGTGCAGAGCAAAATGAGACAAAGACCAGTTAGGAATTTTTCACAAGCAAATTACACGCAGTTTCAAAGACTGTCTTTTATTCTGCTATTAGGTCCTTCCTAATTTTTGGATGGTAGAAATGCCCTGACTTTTTATAGAAATAATTGACAGAAGGTACTGTAAGTGTGTCTGGAGGTTGATTTTGCTTATTTGAAGTTAATAGTTGGCCAGCTGCATTGGTCCCTGAGACTTACTGATTTTAAACCATTTTAGCATCAGAGAACTGTAGGTCTAAGATGTCACGCAGTGCCTGCCAAGGCAAGCAGATGCAGTGCAGGTTCTGCTTCATCTCCCCAGCCCCTCCCCCTCCAGGCCCTGGAGCCTCCTCCACTGGGGCTTCCCTAACGGGGGTCACCATCCTCCCTAGAACCCTGTTGCCTTTGCCCTCTTCTGTGTTGAGGTGCAGAGTTGGAGGGGAGGTGACAAACTGACTCACTCAGGCAATAACGAGAGATGCCGGATTAATACAGTCTCCCCAGGGGCCTTCATATTTTAGACGAGTATTAAAACTCAAACCGATGCATTACGACGGTAGAATTTTAAGCCTTTCCACATCACAATGGGGAAGCACGATATTTTTACAATAAAGAGCCTTCTTCTGAAATCAGACCACACCCTTCGAATTACGGACACAAGTGGCTGGCGAGGCAAGGCCGATAGCATTCTGTCCCTGGATCAAATGTCGCACTGAACAGAAACCCCCACCTTCTCTTTCTCTGGCCCTCTCTAATACAGAATTAATCAGTCATTACTGTCACCCCCTGCCCTGGGCCAGAGAGCAACCTGCAGGTGGCTTTAGAGAACCAAAGTGGATTTTAAGTCAGTTTTCTGCATTCCTGCCGCTCTTCAACCCCATGGAAAGGGATGGTCCTGCCACGTCTGGGTTCCCAGGGCCTGGGGTAGTGCCTGAACACAGTAGGAGTGCAATGGAAGATGAGCAAGTCAGAGACTGCATATGCTAGGTTAAAAATAGTCCAGTCCCCCATGGGGGGGGCCCTCCGCACTGACGACAGTTAGGTAAATGCAAACCCTGAAAGCTCCCAAGGCTTGGAAGACTGCAGGTCCATGAATCTTGATTACAAACAACCTGAGGGAACCATTCCATTCCCTGAAGACCAGCCAAGTCCAGGTGCAACAAAGAAGAGAAACTCTGCAGAACTGCCCAGGAACACTAGTGGAAACCCCACAGATATTGCGATGCCCTGTTCTCCCAAGCTGGCCAACAGTTTTCATGCCCGATATACTAAAAAGTAGTGTTGCTCTTTTGGCGGGACAGGAAAAATACAGGCATGCTCTCCGCGGAAGTCACTGCATCCTTTATCCCCTCAAGCACTTGATAGAACAAACCGTTTTCCACACCGCACAGGAGCATTTGAGTTCTTGGGGCCTGTGGAAATGGGACAGGGCAGTGCTGACATCTGTCAACCAAGGAAATCCTCAAACACTTCCGTGGGTGACTGCTAGGTGTGACGGGAGCAGAAGCGACCCTTTCCCATAGGCCAGTGGTTCTGAAAATGGGGCCTTGGACCAGCAGCACGGGCATTACCTGGGAGCAAGTCAGGAAGGCAGCTTCTCAAGCCCCAGGCAGGACCCACCCACTCGGAAATTCTAGCAAGGTCCTCCAGCCACAGGTGTGTTCACAAACTCCCTGGGAGATCTGGATGCAGGCTGGAGTCTGAGAACCACTGACAGAAGGTGTCATCTTGCAGTGAGTGACTCTGGGCCAAGAAGAGCCTGACCCAGGGCCACAGCCCTCGGGTGACCTAAAAACACTAAGGGATGACTCAGCGGAGGAGCCGAGTATGGCCAAGCCTGCAGTGAGAGGGCCCAGGGCGTACCCAGGCCCTGGGCATTCTGAAGCTGGTCAAACCCAGCCCTGGCATCTCATATTCACCACCCACTTCTGCCAACGCCTTGCGTGACTTGACCTACTGTGGCAGCACTTCCACAGGGAAAGGGCTGTGTGGTCTCAGACTCCCAGTCTATCATTAGTTCCAACCCACACAAACCCACTAGTACCAAAGGGAAGCTTTTGCTAACTTTCAAAGGCGGCTCAACTGTTTCCGGGCAGCAGCCATGGGCCCAAGCAGTCGTCTGAGGCGCTGGGCAGCGGTGCCCTTCCCCCGAACACCAGGGTGGGTCTGGAGCTGGGGGTCCGGCTTTGGGCTGCGCGGCCTGTCGACAACCCCCTGCTCGGCGAGCAGCCAGTCCCAACCTGCGTCCCCAAAGCCAAGATGTGCCTGGATTTTTTTTTTAAACCTGTTTGTGCACTTGAAGAGCCTCACCCCTCTCATTTGGGGCTTGAGGACAATTGAACTGACCTAATTAATTCATTTTCTTTTCCGTCCAAAGTGGAGCCGGGACACGTGGATACAAATTAAATACCAATCCGCTTTGGGCGCCCACACTCTGGACAATTAAAACAAAGAGCGCGGCGACTGGGGCGGCGGCAGCGCCGCGCAAAACCCTCGGGAAACATCCAGAACCTGCCGCGACCCAACGGGCAGGGTGCGGCGCAACCCGGGCTAATCATGAACCAGCTGGAAGGCTGCCCCACCCCTGCAGGTGGACAGGTGGAGGTTGGCAGGGGTCAAAATCCACCCCAAGGGCTAGAAGCTGGGTCCGTGCGCGGCGGAACTCCAGGGGGCACACTCGCCCGGCGCCCAGCGGGAATGGCGCCCTTGCCAAAAAAAAAACCCCAAAAAAACAAAAAAACCCACAACCGAACAAAACCCATTGCACCGGCGGGAACTGGGCTGCGCGCCCCGCAAAAAGAGTGGGTGGGACTGGGAAAATGCCGGAGGGAGGAATAGAAGGAGGTTGGGAGGGAGAAACGGAGAAAGTGAAAAAAAGGATGGGAATCGGAAGAGAGGTGAGAGAGGCAGAGCGGGGAGGGAAAAGAGGGAAACGTAGGGAGGGAGAGGCTCGCGAAAAGGAAGAGCGGGCAAGGGGGGCGGGGGAGGAGAGGAGAGGAAGGGAAAGGGGAGGCGGGCCCGGGGCAGGGCTGCCGGGCGGGGGGTGGGCAGCGGCCGGAGGGCGGGACCGGGGTCCGTCCCCACCTGCTCGGGCGCCGGCTGCCGGGAGGGGTGGAATCCTGGTGGCCGGAGGGAGCGGCTGGGAGGCGGGCTGGGCTTCGGAGCAGAGGGGAGGGTGCGGACGGGGACTGGGAGGCGGGGAGGAGCCGGCGCACGGCTGGGGCTGCGGGGGCGGCGACGGCTTCAGCGGCCGTGGCGGCCAGCGAGTCCGGCGAGAGCGGCGGCGGCAGGTGGCCCCGCGCGCGGCGGCCGGCCCGGCCGGGGGCGGGCGGGAAGGTGGCGCCTCGGGCGGGGGCCGGTCCCTGCACCAGGTGACCTGTTCCGGCCCGGATCCGGGCGGCCTCGCCATGAAGCGGCGCGGCGCGTGGCTCAGGCGGCCGCGGCAGCAGCAGCAACAAGCCCTGCCTCCCGCGGTCGGTCCCCGGGCCGTAGCCATGACCCCCCCAAGCGGCGGCGTCCCCCAGGACCTCGGCAGCCGCCCTGCCTGCGCGCTGTTCCTGCTCTGCTACCTGGTGAGCACCGGACCCTGCCCGGGTTCTCCCTTCCGTGCGGGGCCCCGGGAACGCGGGTGGAGGGGCCGGGGACCTCCACTGAGCGGAGTGGGTGCGGTGTTGCTAGTTTTCTGTTTCCCTGGCTGCTGTGCCCCGGGCGCTCCCGGCACCTGGGATGGGTACCGGAGGCGCAGAGAGCAGTGCGTGGACCGGACTTGCGGCGCTTTGCTCTCTCTCGCTCCCAGACTCGCTCCGGACCTGAGTCCGATTCCCCTAGAGACCCGGCCTGCCCCCCACTCCACCTGGGATCTTTGCTAAGCTGAGTTGCTAACCCGCCCCACCACGCACGGCTCTCCAACCCCTTCTCTCTAGTCCTGGGCTTCCCTTACAGTCTTCTCGTAGACCCTTTTCTCCTTGCGCTTAACTTCTCCTCTTTCTCTCCGAGAATGGCACCCGCCTCGACCCTCCTTTGAGTTTCCGCCCTGTCTTTGTGACCCTTTTCTGCCAATGCACTTGGCGTTGCATCTCCGGTTTCCAGAGCTCTTCAACTCCTCCATGGCCACTCTAGCCAAGTTGCCAGTGCCAGAAAGAAATCTCGTTCTTAACACGCTTGCCGCCAGAGTGGTGACTTTAGCTGCGTCTCGAACGTTGTCATTTCTGAGAATACGTTTGGGTTAATGCATGTCAGTTACAGTTTTCGCACTTCTTGGCTTCTGTTTTTTAGTCATCAACTAAATGGCAGTAACCTATTTGTCAAGACCAACTCATTTAAAATACCAGAGTCACTTAGATCCTCAGAACAAAGTGGGGGAAATACCTCTCCATTCCTTTGATGGCTTTGCTTCCTTATGCCTTGAGTTTTAAACAACAGTAAATTTACAGAAGGCGACACCCTCCCTGTCCAGCCTACCTTATGCTCCAGGATCCTGCAGGGCCCTCGGGTTATCTCGCCACATATTACTGCACATAAATGAAATGGAAAATGCTGAATCATGAAACTGATGTAATAGGAAATTCACAGAATGTGAAAAAAATGGAGCAGTGTCATTGTCCAGAATTATTTGCATTTATGTGGTATTGTCATTATTCGGAGTCTTTCTTCTCAGGAGCTCGAAACTGCTTAGGAGACACTGCAGGACTTAGAATTTGGTTCCAAGGAAATTTGCCACCCAGCAAGTTTCTTTGAACATTCTTGACTTCTCGGGTGTTTCATTTCTTTGAAGTGAGGGAGGGAGTGTGAAAAGGCAAGTTGTATTTCTGCTTCTGCATCTACCTGTTGAGCGATCTGTGCTTCTCTTTGTATTTTCAAATTATCCAGTACCAAATTCTGTGGTTGGATTTACTTCGTATTTTTCATAAGAAGGTGTCGGTTAACATAAATGAGTTTTTTCACCCAAGAGATGTTATTACTTAATGTTTATGCCACAGGGTTACAGCACACAGGCTTGTACAGAAAACTGCCATGAGGGACAACAGGGTTCCAGTTTAAACAGAGGGACCCCGTCCACAAGGCCCTGGATACCCACAGAGGCAGAAATGATGGAATAGGGTATTGGGTAAAACAGTAGTGTACAGGTGCTCTGGAAAGTTCCACGTGGAAATCTTCACACCTGGCAAAAAGAGACCACTTCTGGACAATTCCAAGAAATCAGAGAAACCAGAGCAGAGCCTAGAGGTCTCCTGGTTGGTGGGGACAGAGACAGATGGTGGACCGGGTATTAGAGTTCTGTGTGGACCGAGGGGGTCTGAGAGAACGTGACAGAGAGGAGGAAATGACGCTATCTGGCAGACCGGACTGAGCTGGGAAGGAGTGAGGTGGGGCTCCAGAAAGGGAGGTTATAGAGCATACCGTCGTGTGGGGAATAACTAGAGCATGGGTGAATGTCTCGGCAGAGGGACGAAATGGGTTTTGGAACCAACTCGAAGAGGGAAACGGCAGCGCCTCCTGACTCTGTGTGTTCCCTTCAGAGGGACTTCAGAGACGCTACTGTAAAAGAAAGGCTTCCACAGCCAGGAAAGCCATTTTCCAACTGAATGAGAAGCTTTCGCAAAACCCAGGGAAGCAAAAAAGTATGACTTGGACGGTGGGCCTACCCCAACCCCCACCCCACCAAGGTCTAGCCACTTGCTATAGATTTTGCTCTAGAGGCATGTGTTTTCTGAGATGCTGACAACAAGTAAGGAAGGCTTCCTTGACCTTGGAGAGCTTTGGCCTGTGAATTGGGGGAATTGTAAACATCTGTCTGAAAAACGTGAGACAGCCAAGAAGAAAATGATAATTGCATGCATTCTGCTCATCAAGGAATCCTTCCGAGAGGAAGTGTGATCAGTCTGTGGAGGGGGCAGGGGTGGGCAGGCGAGTGGAGGGTAGAGGTTGAACAGAATAGCTGGGATCTCAGGAATATGTAGACACTAGAGGAAGAAAGCTGTCCCATAATTTGGAAGGCTAAATCATAATAGCGATCATAATAGTGCTAAGTTGTTTATATGCATTATCTAATATTAATTTCAGCAAAAACTGTCTGAGCCAGGAGCTATTATGATTCTCCTGAGGCTCAGAGAGGATAAGGAAGTTGTCCTGGGCCACACAGGACAACTGAAACCCACCACTGAAACCCAAATCTGCCTGTTCCAGGGCCCCAGTTCTCAGCCATGCTAGCCAATCACCTTCTGGATTTTGCTTCTTGTAACCCATTCCCCTCTTGCATAGATGCATGGGCCATTAGCAAAGCTTTTGCAATTAGCAGCTACTGTGCAACTAGCCAGGATGTGAGGTCATCTCTAAAGTAACCTGAAATATATAAAGCAGGAAGCACAGGCCACAGAATAGAAGCAGGATGTTAAAGAGAAAGATTAAACCGGACATTATTTGCCATCCGTGATGAAGAGATAAGAGCGGGTCTTTATACAGTCCAGAAGCAGCTGGTTGGCGAAGTTTAGCACTTGAGTTTGTATGAATGTGTGTCCAAGTGTAGAGCTGAGTGTGCCTGGGAATCTATTCCAAAGCCACTTTTATGTGATTTGGGGACCAATTCCCAATTTGTGTAGTCCCCACCGATCTCCTTGTTCACAAAGCTTTCTGAGAGCAGCTTTATGAACGGATGCCTATAAGCCCCTGCCCTTGTGGGATGCATGCATTCCTGCAGCCAGGGTCCAGGGGCAATGGGCTCCTTCTCCATTGGCTGGGACAGAGTAACCTTCAGTCGCAGCCTAAGAATGGAACTGTGACTGTAGCTAGGATACTGCCAAAGCATGAATAATTGTGACGAGGCCTGAAAGATAAGTCACGGAGTGGTGCCAAGCAGATTTCTGAAAAGATGATCCTTGGTTCTAGCAGCTGCCAGAAAATTCTGAGGTCACCAAAGGTCAAGATGCAGAGAGCCTCCCTAGAGAGGGTGAGGGCCTCAAAAGCAAAAGGCAGTGAGATCGATTCCCCTGAGCTCACTGGTGCGGAGCGGCGAGGTCCACACGGGACTTGCTGTGCCCAACAGACCGACCCCCTTGCCGTTCTCTTACATCATTAACTCTTAACCTTCCTCCAGACTTGGCCAGAACGCCCTGAGGCTTCCCCAGCCCCATCTGTGACAATGGCACTTGTAGAAGGCGATTTTTGTCCCTCCTGAGCGCTGGTCTCAAAGATACAAATTTATTCTTAAGTGAGAAAACAAATCTCACAACGTGTAGTATTACTGATGGTCAGCTGTAGACATTGGCCCTCGTTAGACAACCACGGACAAAGAAATAAAAGGACATCAGCAGCGCAGACGTACGTGAGGGTCATCGGCAAGTGGTGCAGCAACAGCCTTGTATCGCATTCTCTGTGCCGGCCATTGGTTATCTCTCTAGAAGCAGCCGTGCCCGTCACACAGAGCCTGGAAGAGCAAGGCAGAGGGAAGGAGCCTTAGTTGTCCAGCTCGTGCGAGGGTCCCTGTGAACATTCTGAAATGCAGAGACCACCCTCGGACTTCACGTTAGCCACCAGCTGCCAAGCTCATCCTGACCAGAGTCTCGAAAATCTCCCAAGTGATGGCGTTTGCCTCTTGCCTTCTAGCCCCTCTGGTCTCGTTGGTAAACGTGCAGGAGCCATGAATTGGCTGACCGGAAGACGTGGAGAACCGAGGTATTTCGTGGAGAAGATGGGTAGACTCAAGTAGACCGTAACGAGCCTGCAGTGCATCCCGTTCCCCTGAGAAAGCACCTGAGTGCAGGAGGGCTGTACAGCGTGTGAGGAATGGCCGTGAAGATTCTGGCTTGGCAGCCCCTGCCTCCCATCCTGACCCCAAAAAGAGCTGGGGAGGTGGCTCGGGGCGGTGTGTACGTTTGTGGAAACATCTTCCCTCCCCAGACGCAGGCATAGTGACCCCATAGAATTTTAGCCACCTCCGCCCCCATTCAAGATGGGAGTGAGGAAAGTCTCGAGACTCCCTCACCCGGAGCCAGCGAGTGGTGAAGGTGTAGCTGTCAGTGGGTGAGTCGAGGGTGTCATTTGGGGTGTTTCTGGGAGGCAAGAGGAACACCATGGCCGACTTTGGAGTCAGCAGATGTGGATTTGAATTTTTGGTTCTGCTGGTTGACCTTGGGCAAGTTACTCACCCTCTCTGAATCCATCTTGTTTCCTCAGCTGGAATTCTCTGTCCCTTCCAGGGCTGTTGTGAGGATTAGGTTTGAAGGGAGACGCTGGATGAAGTTGTGTGTGAGAGGACGAGGTTAAAACTGAGTGGGGACGACCACCCCCACCCCAATGCCCAGCACACGGGAGCTACTCACAGAAACCAAACCAGTCCAAACCGTAGTTACCCTCATATGATTCGAGTTCAAAAGAAATAGCATATTAAGCCACATTAAAGAGGAGAGAGGATCCCACTCAGTAGGAGTATTGATTGTTCTTGTGACGGTGTGTCCCTAGCCAGCTCTCAGGTCTGGGAAGGTGTACTTGGTGACTCGGAAATGTTTCCCAAGGCAGATCTTGATTTTCGAAAGTCCGTATTGACATCAGCGCCCATTCTGCTTAATTGCATGCT